CAATAGTAAATTCTGATGCAAAAGTAAGGAGACTTAACTCTCTGCCAGGAAGCAGAAGGGAAATTAAGGTGCCTCTGAAAAGGCAGTGTACAATTACATGCTCTTGGGCAGCAAGGAGAGTGGGGATGAATCCACAATATCAAACATGCTATTTATACCAGTGTTCTCTTGAAAGTCAGTTATTTTAGGGGTAGCTGTAGAGGTGGAATATTTTGTCAACTGGAAATTACAGTACTAAATCCACTGGTAGGGTGAAATAAGAACAATATTGTCAGCATTCACTTCAAATAGTTCATTGCCCCTTAGCATATGTGCTCCATAAAGGGTAGATAGAGCTTTCTCAGCTCTGCTAATGCAGTCCCTGAAGGTTCATTCTGAAGGAATAGGGTAATTGGTTAGCTCTTAAATGCTACTGCTGAAAAACACTGGAGCAGTACTTTGCCTCTTACTCTCGAATGAGCTCAGTGTTCCCTGAGAAGTTGTTAGAAGTGGGTTTTGAATTGAGTGCATAAAAGCTAAATGAAGATTTAAAGTTCTTGCTCCATTGGTGTTCTAATCACTGTCTGGTAGGTTTTAACTCTTTTTAGTGGACTTCAGGAATAGATGTACCTGATGGCAGGTGACTAGCCTTGTTCATGTTACTGACTGCTTCTTGTGGTTCCTTTTTCTCCCCTTCTCAGGCTCATGTGGCAGCTGTTACGCATTTTCCTCCATGGGCATGCTGGAAGCAAGGATACGTATCCTCACAAACAACACTCAGAAACCAGTGTTCAGTCCCCAGCAGGTTGTGTCTTGCAGCCAGTATTCTCAGGGTAAGGATGCTGGTGTCTATAATGACACCTTTCAGGTATTGATAATGCTGGAGATTAGTTTGAAAATTTCCATCCCTTCCCCATCACACTCAAGTTACCTTTTTCATAAAGTATTTGGCAGGCTATATTTTAGTATACTTTAGTACTTTATTTAAAATCAAAAAATAACAAAAAGCAGAGTTGTCAGCCCACCTCTCTGCAGCAATGGGATTGAACAATAAGTCACCCTTATACTCAGGATGTTACTGGGTCTTACGTCTGGCTGTGAGATGGGAAATATCTAAGGAGTAGGGCTCAAAATGTAGCTGATTACAGTCCTTACCTAGAGAGTGGAATAAATATTCTCCCAATGGCATATTCAGAGTGAGGGGGAGATGAGCAAGAGCAATGACTAAAGCTTTCTAGAGGACTGTATCCTTGTTAGGACAGATCCTTGTACAGCATGTAACTAGCTGTTCTTTCTGATGGGGATTGTCAGGAGCAATTGGATGGGAAAGGGTCCAAGTACTGGCGTTCTCAACATAGCTCCCACTAATGTGAATTTTGCCTTGTGTGTTTCAGAAGGTTGACTGTAGCTAACCTGGGGTATTAGGATGATCTGGGTCACTGAAGTGTGTTCAATACTGTATCTGAAAGAATTATGAAAGATTTAAGTGGGAGAGTCTCCCACCTCAAGTAATGTAATTTCCAAGGGAGGAAACACTTTTTTTCTTTCCCCTTTCTTTTGTTAAGGTTGTGATGGTGGCTTCCCATATCTCATTGGTGGAAAGTATGTCCAGGACTTCGGCGTGGTGGAGGAGGACTGCTTCCCTTACACTGCCCAAGACTCTCCGTGCCTTTTCAAGCGCAGCTGTTACCACTACTACACGTCTGAGTACCACTATGTTGGTGGTTTCTATGGAGGCTGCAATGAAGCCCTGATGAAACTTGAGCTTGTTCTGCATGGCCCAATGGCTGTTGCTTTTGAGGTTTATAATGATTTCATGCTTTATAAAGAGGGGATCTACCATCACACTGGGCTGCAGGATGATTTAAATCCTTTTGAATTGACCAATCATGCTGTCTTACTGGTGGGCTATGGTAAAGACCCAGAAAGTGGTGAGAAATTCTGGATTGTGAAGAACAGCTGGGGCACCTCATGGGGAGAGGATGGCTACTTCAGAATCCGCCGTGGCACTGATGAATGTGCAATTGAAAGCATTGCAGTGGCTGCAACTCCTATTCCAAAGTTATAATGTAAAGGTCTTCATCCAGTGCCTTGTCCTGAGCATAAGAATGTACTGATGGTTGAAGATTCTGGTTAAAATCTGTCCCCTAGCTTGAAAAGGCAGCTTTAAGGAATTTTTCCACAATAGAGCAGTTTCCAAATGTGAGAAGATGAGCACTGCTAATTCTGCTCTGTGCACTGAAGGCTTCCTCTCAAGTCTGAGGGTAGATCACCCAGAAGGGCTGTTTTGGTATCAGTGGTGATTAGTTGCTCATCAATGGATAGATTTACCTTCAGTTACCAGTCCATTTTTTTCCATGGGTAATCTTGACCTTTGGATCTCAGAGGGAAGTATTTGCTATGATAATCCATAACTGCTTTGAAGGGACACTGTAGTGCCTTACTTCTCAGAAATCAGGAAGTTGCTGCAATTTGGAACATAAGTATGTATTGGGGAGGGAATGAGCAATTACGCTGATGAAAATAAAATTCTAAAGCTCTAAGGGTCCTGCAAAAACTGCATGTCAAATCCTTATGACAATAAAAATCAATTCTAAGTTTCAGGCTGTTACTGAATGTTCTAGTTCTGGATTTTATTGCTCCACTTCACAATTGATCATTTCAGAATTAAGTAAAAAAACACCCCACTCCTATAGGAGTTTGTGGAAGAGGTTAGTTATTTTGGTGACTTGTGTATGAGTTTTGAGCTTCCTGTCAAGAACTTTTTGCTTCAGCAGCATCTAAACCGGTGGGGAAGAAGGATGAGAGGGCAGAAGAGCTAGTAATCTTACATCTGAGGCTGAGATCATCACAGCACCGTCAAACAA